TGAGGCAGTGTGCTGTGCACGGGATCAGCCTCGTGGCTCCCTTATACTCAGGATGTTCACCTAAGTTTTCGGGCAGTTTAAACACTAGAGGAGCCTTTCACAACGAAATGCTTTATAGACTAGGGCTTGTGGTTGTTGAAGCCATTATTGTGATAACGTATTTTAAGGTGTCGATCAGACTGTGTTCTGGGAAGGAGTGAATACGCTCTGCCAGCTGCTGGATGCGATCGTCGAGACAGAAATGGAAACAGATTTCTTCGAGGGGAAAAATGTGCTTGAGGTTGGTTTCCGTTTTCGAATATTTCTTCAAATAGGGAGTCAGCAACGAAAGGCCGGATCTATAAACCACTTATCTGACGGAATGAGGCAGTTTAGCGTAGGTTGAGTGGAGAGGATAGGTCTTATAATAGTGTGAAATTCCTCCCCGTCAACACAGCGTCAGTGACTCTCCGTGGCTGGTCACCCAAAATGACTCCCAAAAAATGAGCGGAATTTCAAGTTTTTTATTGGAAATAAGGCTTCCAAATTCTCGCATTTCAGATCGGATTTGCTACTGGACTTCCATCTGTCTATGCTTACGAGAATGGCGCTGCTGAGGTCGCACTTCACAGTGCTGTAAGTTGTCGACTCTATTTTCCAACCATCTATACACAGCTCCTTATTCAGAAGCACTTCACTTCAGTAGGCATTATATACTTCTAATTTCAGTCGAAAACTTCGCTCCAAATGTACTGTAAACCGACTCTGCGCAGGAATGCGATCCCGGAAAACAAGTGCAAATTTTCCAGTGGCGACCTTAGCCAAATGAAGAAAGCCATTGGCGGAAAGAGGTAAGGTGGAAATGACGTGTTTATCATAGAGCTGAACTTACCATAAATCTAGCTACTTTCAGCCTCGTTTCTTTCATTCTTCTGTTGAACTGAACAGTTCAGGAAATATATTTTCCTCTTAGATTCGATGTTATTCTGGCTGCGGAGCTTTTGTATCGCCGTGAGGATGAGTTTGAGTTGGTGCATCAGATCCTCGATGAAGCCCTCAGTCACGATGGCATTTGGTTTGTGCTTTTGCCATAGTTGCCTTTTAGTCTGTCATTTCTAAACTCAGTACGACGCTTTCAGTTTTCTGTCCAGCCCAACTCACTATTTCACCGTCGACAGCAGCCTCTCCAGTTTCCTGGACCTTGTGAAGAAGTACAGGAAATTTGACGTCGTGGAACGATGGAGCTCCCCTCGTACCGACGTTGTCCAGCGAAAAGTAAGCAATTTGCCAGATATAATAGTTATCCTGTCGTATCGTCCCTATAAATTTGAGCTTGTCTAAAAAACCGCATGGCTGGACAAATTCGTGTTTGTATGGGACGTGGTCCCAGAGGATTGGAGCACAAAAGGGCCAATTTGAACTCGGAGCGGGCGGCACGTGCACCAAAATAGGTGTGTCGATGCAAAAATTCTTAACACGGTTTCAGAACAACCCAGAAACGAAAAATTAGATAAAGATGGGCACGTTGACAGAGCAGAACACTAACACCCAATCACTATTCGCTAAGCGGTCTCCCAGTTTGCAGTGCTCGCCTCAATAATTTGCAACGATTGCAAGATAGGTTAGGAAGCAGAGAAATTCGTAACGGCGAATACCAGGGCATAGTAGCTGAACAAACCAAGCATATGTCCACCTGCATGGGTGTAGCGTGTCCTTGAACGTCCAAAATTTCTTTTGCTCCATCCCCTGAATGGTGTACGAAATATAATAGTTTGTAAAACCAACAGTTGTTTCAGAAAGAACGGTGATGTAATTAGGGGTAATATCGTAGAAAAACTTATTACCAAATCTTAGCAGTAGCATAAGTCCGACGTTTTCGAACTTATGACGCTTCCCGCACTTCCTATTCCTGGGATTGAAGCTTTCAGAATGGGAGAGTTTGACAGAGAACTGCATACTTTTCTTCTTTCCTCATTCCTGTTGTTTCTCAAAGGCGGAGTTCGCAAAAAGGGTGTGGGAGAGCTTGTTTGGTAGCGCTTTCGGTCTCAATGAGAACTGTGAGACTCCATGAGTGAATTCAGCAATGCTCTTACATTCTAGAACAGAAATTAACAGCTCCATGGGAGCACTTGGAATCTGTGACGTATGTACGTGCGAATTAATCAGTGAACTATTTGTCCGACTTCAAATTGGGCCTTTTTGTTATCGATACAATTTCAGGTCCTTCAACTAACTCGATCTCTTTGCTGATCCTGCCACTGGACAGAAAGCAATAACCAGTTTGAAAATGCTCTCCGTTAAACTGCATCTCTAAAGCGATTAATATCTTTATTGTTTCGAAGCGAAGGACGTCTTCAAAGGCAGTTAATGTGTTTTTCTCGTGAATTTCTAGCGGAGTTTTTGAAAATCTCTAGTCATCATACGCTTCATTTGGTTCAAGGGGCTTTAAAGAGAACACATCACTAATTGTCTTTGATGACGTACCTATCTATTATCTTCAGCCATGTCATTAACCTTCTCACAATACGGTAATGAACAACCAAAATCTTAAAAGAGACAGTATCTCCCGAAAATCCAGTTTTCTCATGCGTATCCTATCGCATTATAACAGAGCGTGTCTCAGAGAGGGTTGCTCACATAGTTGGAGCTGTTAGCACTGCCCAATGGGCTGTACGTTTGAATTTGCTCTATGTATCGACATTCGATTTTTTTAAAGGCTGTCTTTATGTTGTGAATGTATCTCTTCGATATTTTCTCTGACATGCCGCTCATGTTTAACGGTAGATCCTTTACGGTTATTGCTGGAAATATTGTTTTTAAATCACAAAAGTGGTAGGCTCGGCTAGTTCCAAACGTGTATTCCGTCGTAGTAGAGTTATTTCGATTTCCTGGGGATTTCTTTACTACAAGATGTTCTATTGTATAAAACTATTTGATGTTATTAAAGTGCTATTTAATATGATTACCTAATAAAATTTCTTCAAGATGTTACGTGACAAAAACTAAATACTACACAAATACCATAACCTTCGGTTAAAAATATTCCAGAAAATCTTGAGCAACCAATAGAACCCGCCGGAAATCAAAGTAGGGTATTTGGCAGTGTTGCAAAGAAGAGCCAAAAGCGATAGTTTTCTCACACAAGTTACGTTTTCTAATGTAACTCCTTTCCACGCCATAAAGCTAATTAGTTACGTTCCACATAACTCTCAGGATAAACGTAAATCTTCGGAATTTTACTTACCGTGCAGGAACATTTTTTCTCGCAAAATTACATGTTTCTATGCTATTCAGCATAGAAACATTATGAATAATGTAAACTTCTTATTGTGATGTAATTGTATTTTTACACGTCCCCTTATAGCAGAGTCCTAAATAAGTAAAGATTAATAGCGAGTTTTAGTGGGGGGAGGGGGGCTGAAGGCTTAAGCCTCCAGACCTAGATGACAAATAAGCAAATACTAAAGTGAACGAAGTAAAGTGCACAGTTTCGCTGAAAGGATAGTCAGCAGCAACCTTTAGATGGAGTTGCTCGCGGCATCTTAGAAGGAATTTGCAGGTACATGCTTTTTTTCTGCTTTCGGGGCGGCGTCCCCTACATGTCATGGAATCGATCCCGAAAATGACGAAAATGAAATCGCGTCATCTCTCCGCGGTAAGCCTTTTACTTATTAGGCAGAACTAACACTCAACAAACGCGGCCGCAGTCCGTTTCCTGTGTGGGTGCTTTCCAATATTTGAAACCATGTGATAGAAAAGTATGCAGGACATTGGCTGCAGACCAAACATGTCTGAATAAAGTGTGAAGTAGAGGTGGATTGTCTGCCTGGGCAGAAAAATTGATCTTCATAGATTAGCATTAGCGTTGCAGTGACGTCATTCATTATACTGTTAGAGCCAAAGAGTACATGTCTTAGTGTGCTTGTCTACCTATCTGGCTTGAGTTTCGAAAACACCGGAGAAAATCAGTTCGGAGGTGTTGTCAGGTTTGGGCTGGATCAGTGAAGTCCCATACTGCAGGTAGGGCTGGTTTTAAATGGACGTTGCCAAAGGCAAAACTCGCTAGTTCTAGAACAGGCTAGAAACCGATAAAAAATAGCTTAACCCTCTCAACCCAGAATTATTCCCGCAGAAAAAATTTTGTTATTATTGTTAAGTACTTTTGAAAACATAAATAACACTATAATGAAATTCGGGAGCTTTTCGACTACAAACTCATAAATAGAAAGCTTTAAAAATTGACGCAGCTCCTAGGTTTATTGTTTATGTTTATTATCGGTAACTAGTGCACAACAATACATCAACCTCGAATCAACACAAATGTCCGATAACGGGTGAAGAAAAAAACGAAAAAAGAAAACCATTGCATCACTCATTATTAGTACCAGTTTTGCTTCGCCCGCTATCGCGCGCATCACACGGCAGGCTTTAGCGAAACTGGAGGACCCATGGAATATCAGCATGAGATACTCCATTAACCATCTCACTATTGACTGTGTTAGACCCTCCACAGTTTCGCTGAAGCTCATCGAGAATACGCGTGATAACGTCTGGAGCTGAACTGGTATATTGATCACAACTGTAAACATCCAGCATTTTTCTTGAATTAAGATAATTTAGCGGTGAATAGGATTGCTGTCAGTCTCAAAATCAAAATGAAATATGCCTATTTACATAAGTGAGGAGCTAAGGCTTATCATTTATTTACATTCACCATTATTTAGAACCCCGAAAGGATTAGCGGTTTAATGAGTTTGGGCTTTCTTAATAGTGATAGAAATGAAACTTATCATTTGCTGAAGACTTGTTTGAGTTTATGCAGTCGAATTCTATTAAGTAAGCTGGTTATATCGAAACAATGTGCACGTACTACAATTTGTAAATAGGAACGCTCTAGTGTCAACGCTGCGTAACGGAATTGACGACTTTGCGTTCTGGCGCACCTTATCGGCCCTTATCAATCGTTATCAGTTTCTGGCACCCACCAACAATGTCCCCGTCCCACCCCACATAACACTTGTAAGTATGGTTGCTCTGGTGTCAACGCGAGCCAGGTAACGGAATCGACGACTTCAGCGTTCTGGCGCGCCTTATCAGCCCTTATCAATCGTTATCAGTTTCTGGCACCCACCAACAATGTCCCCGTCCCACCCCACATAACACTTGTAAGTATGGTTGCTCTGGTGTCAACGCGAGCCAGGTAACGGAATCGACGACTTCAGCGTTCTGGCGCGCCTTATCGGCCCTTATCAATCGTTATCAGTTTCTGGCACCCACCAACAATGTCCCCGTCCCACCCCACATAACACTTGTAAGTATGGTTGCTCTGGTGTCAACGCGAGCCAGGTAACGGAATCGACGACTTCAGCGTTCTGGCGCGCCTTATCGGCCCTTATCAATCGTTATCAGTTTCTGGCACCCACCAACATTGTCTCCGCCCCACCCCACATAACACTTGTAAGTATGGTTGCTCTGGTGTCAACGCGAGCCAGGTAACGGAATCGACGACTTCAGCATTCTGGCGCGCCTTATCGGCCCTTATCAATCGTTATCAGTTTCTGGCACCCACCAACATTGTCTCCGCCCCACCCCACATAACACTTGTAAGTATGGTTGCTC